ATATATACATACACACACACACACACACACACATATATATATACACATATATTAGAGCTGTCAAAGTTAATGCAAATTCCTTTTAAAGCCACTAATGATTTTTGGTGCACAATAAACGCACGCCTAGCCTGTAGTTTGGAAAATCAGGAAACGATGCAACAACAGCAGAAATTGATAAAGTCTTCTGAATGGCAAGTTCAGCTTTAAAGTCCTGCCAGATGTTCTCTTGACAAGAGCAAAGTTATTTGCATTTACTGTCGATGTGAACTGAGTTACCACCAGAGTACGTCTAGTCTCAAATACCACCTGCTGGCCAAGCACACGGCTGATGCAGAGAGCCTCCTTCCCCTTGTGAAAGACCAACCACGCTGGATAGTTTGCAACAGAGATGCTTGGAAAACTCTACAAGCACCAATCTTTCAAGTGTAATATCTAGATGGTTGGCTACAGCTTGTAGGCCTATCAACATTGTGGACGACAAGGGTCTGTTTGATATAATTCACATTACATCCAACAACTGCGCGTATGAATTGCCTTTGAGAGCCACCACTGTACCCAAGACACACAACTTGTATGAAGACAAGAAAGCTAAAGTGGAGGAGGTGCCGGGACAGAAAAACATGGTTGCACTCACCGGAGAGTACTGGACTTCTCTCAGTAATCACAGTTACCTCTAGGTCACTTTAAGGTTCATTCAGAGCCAGTGGTGGAAGAAGTACTCTGATCCAGCAATACAACTGTCTAATAATAGTATGTTACATGTTACAGCTGGTAAAGGGGAAGATAGTTTTAACTAGCTTATATGCATTTCATTTGAATTACTGCTGGGTAGCTTGTGAATTCTCCACCATAGATCAGTGAGGTCTAATAATTACAATAGGTTTCTTTTGTATTAATCTGGTTATGAAAAGTAACTAGAAACTAAAGTTATAAAATAAATGTATGAGTACAAATAAATGAGTAAAAAGTACAATACTTGTCTCTGCAAAATGTAATGAAGTCAAAGTATGAAGTAACAGAAAATGAAAATACTGAACTACAGGTACCTCAAAATGGTACTTAAGTACAATACTTGAGTAAATGCACTTAGTTATTTTTCACTGCTTTTGCACAGATTAAAAAATGTGTGATTAATTTGAGATTAATTGTGAGTTAACAATGGACAATCATGATCAATCACAAGTATTTTAATCGAATGACAGCACTAATATATATATATAAAAATATAGACAAAGACATAAGCTGGTTTCAAAAGAAGAAAACACTAACATACACTCACCAGCCACTTTATTAGGTACACTTGTACAATTGTATGCACTTTAATGCAACACTTCTCCTCAACATTTGTGTTTATGAAGCTCAAAATGTTTCAGAGGTGTTCCTAATATTCTGACCCTCTCATGTATGTACCTGGGGAGGACAAAAATATTGACACCTCTGAATACTGTATAATGTAGTCCAGTACAATGCTGCCTTCAACCATGACCTCAATAATAAACATATAGTTGAATTTATACATTTATGATAGTTGATTAAAAAACTGAAACATTCTGAGCTTCATAAACACAAATGTTAAGGCAGAAGTGTTGCACTGAAATGCATATAATTGTACAGGTGTACCCAATAAAGTGGCCCGTGAGTGTATGTGCGACTCCGAACTCGTGGATTCTCTTCCCTGTCATTTTCTTTGAGTTTGTGGTCTCCCTCTGTCGCTCCCCACCTGGCTGTGATAGAGTATGGACAGAGGAAGGGAGGTGTAGGAGAAGGTGGCAGGACACTAAAGCCTTCCTGGCACTCTCAAGGCTCTCCTCTTCCTCCTCATCCTCCCCCTCTCCTTGCTGTCTTCTTCCTCTCCTCCTCCTGTTGTGTCTTTCCTCCAGACAGCTCCTCTTCTCTGTGCTGCTAATCACCATGTCAACTGGTCCGGATTGCTGCTAAAGATCCAACACAGATCAATTAAAGAAATAAAAAGAAATAGAAATTTAAAAAAACTTTTTAACCCTTCTGCTTAAGAAAACAGATAAAGTAAGATCCACTGCATCTCAATGTATTTATTACTATTTAACAAGAAAAACAAAATGAAAATAACCTTTTTTTTCTGCTCTTTGTTTGGTTGCCTTCTTTCTGCAGGTGAGCTCTGATTGGCTATTGTAATAGTGACAGTAACTGGTGACATGGGAATGCCACCAGTGGCAGGGGCTGGGTGGAGGGAGGGGGTTGGGGCAAAATAAAGTTGGATATATAATAAGAATAAAGAGTATACTTTTGCACACCAAAGTCAAACAAACATCAGATCTCCACTTTGTTGCTTTGGCCATGAAACGGATCATGCATTTCCCAAATACTGAGCGACTCATGAAGCATGTCATGTTTTTGGCAGGAGCCACTGACCTGACAATTCTTACTTGTTTTAAAGAAAAGAAGAAGAAGAAGTATGATAAATTGTAAACATTCCATGTTTATAATCTTTTGGCTGTACTTGAAAGCCACAGATTTGTTTTTTGTTTGGGTGACAGGGACAGGAACTCACTGTGTGGTAGATTGCATCAATACAGTACATCATTAGAGAGATCTTGTCAACGCCCTCCTGGTTGGTAAGTAAGAGAAAGGTTTGCTAACAGGGACAACCAGAGACGATCACTGGGGTAACAGGGATAAACGGTAACCTATGTGACGGTTCAGAGAATCACATAAAACCCTGTATACAGCCCAGATCTGATCACTGGAAATACCAACATTGCTACAGAATCCTGACTGACAAACTTACCGAGTTTACAATAACATAATGAACAACAATAGTTACCTTTTATAGGTAAATAGAATCACTTTGTTGTTCTAGGCCTTCCGTGTGTTTTTAAACATAAGTTGAGGGTTAGTTTACCAAAAATAATTACTGCATCAGTAAATGGTGATTATAGCTGCTTTTTAATTGCACAAAGATTCCTGAGAATTTTTATAGTTTTATTCCTTCACTGCAGCTCAAAATAACACAAGGAGACACTGATGATAGAAATCATCCACACACTTTTAATTACCTACTTGTACATCATAAACACATCATTTTAGTCAGACATTATCAGGTATTAGCTCCTTTCTTTCTGTATTTATTAATGTTTGAGTCTAAAACAAAAAGTAAAAATACTCTATTAAACTGAAATTGTTTAAAATACATATTTAAAAAGACATGAAGGCAATAGTAATTCCCCTTTATTTAGCATCAGCCATTGGCAAATCATGATACAATTGGTCCAGGTAGGAGAAAAAAACATAAATAAGATGAACAAAGACATTGTTTTGTATCTCTTTATGATCATTTTGTGATCTTTTTCCGGTTGCTTGGTGTGTCTCATTGTGGTTGTTTGATTGAACGGACCAGAGGCTCTGACCTGTGGGTCCACAGGCCCACTGACCCCTTGGGACCCTGTGCATGTGCCTTGTAGGCCCATTCAGTAATCCATCCATGGCCGAGGCCTTGCCTTTACAGGGGTGGCCAATTCCAGTCCTCGAGGGCCGCTGTCCTGCTTGTTTTCCAACTATCCCTGCCTGACCTGCTGCTGATTACCTGGCTCAGGTGTGTTCAGCCAGTCAGAAGCTGGAAGATACCATCTTAGATATCATCTAAGATGCAGATCTTAGATATCATCTAGATATCAGCAGCAGGTCAGGCAAGGATAGTTGGAAAACAAGCAGGACAGCGGCCCTTGAGGACTGGAATTGGCGACACCTGCTTTAATATCTGGTACCTTTTTATCTCATTGAAAATCGCTTTATACCTGAACAACTGTTTGCTAGAGAATCACTGTTTAATCTAGAGTTATATTACTCATGGCCCTGCAAACCCTTTTCACATGACAGACAACTTCTGGTGCTCCTCTCATTGGGGTATTCTCACTTCCACTGGTAAAGGTAATCATTGAGTTCATACAGCCTAAAGCAGCTGCCACAGACATGAATGGATGATGTTTAACGGCTTGTGAATATTTTTCACTGTGTTACTGATCAGACCTCTCCTTTAAGAGCTTATGGTTAACTTGTTTGTCCCATGGGCAGTACAGCTCTCTATTTTGGGGAAGCAGTCAGTGCAATAATGTACATGCTACTATGGGTGGAAAAAGTTACAGTTGTTAGTTAATACAAGCATCTAGATAAGCTTGCAGTGCAGTATACAATGCATAAGAGGCCAATATTTGCTGAGACAAGGTAGAATAAAGTCTCTGTTCGAGCAAAGTTATCTCCGTCTCCCTCTTCCCTTCGCCAACATACCAGGGTTGCTGCTGATAATACACAATTAAATGTGCCAAAGAATGAGAGAACATTCCAGCAGAAGCTCAGTAAATGGGGGGCGACAGTGGTGCGGTGGGTAGAGCAGTCATCTCCCAACCAGAAGGTTGAAGGTTCAAATCTCAGTGCCTGCAGTCCACATGTCAAAGTGTTGTTGTACCCGGTACTTTTTACCATACTGACTCTGAGAGACGAGGCAGTCCAAGTAACTACAAAACTGTGCTAATTTATTCCATGAATACAGGTAAAAATTAACATTACACGCTCAGGCATCTTGCACCTCCAACCAGATGAAAGATGAAAGACCCCGAACCCACCAGGCCTATACATTATATCCCCTCGGTTGGGCTAGCCCCATACTACACAGAAACGTCAACCGAGACGTCTCTCTTATCAGCCTTGCAGCTGGTCATAGCAGTAGTCAAAACATGAAGCAAATCAATGTGCGTGTGTGTGTCTGTTGATTAAGTGGTGTGTAGCTAAAAACATTTTCACAGACTTCTAGTAACATGTCGTGACTTAAACATAAGAACATATTATGGCTAAGGCTACAGTTATACAC